ATTGGATAATGCGACAAACAGTGGACAATGAGGAAACAGGCATAAGATGGACCCACACAAAACGCTTAGAGGATCTGGACTTCGCCGATGACATATGTCTGATATCCCACAAACTGGAAGATAAGCAAGCCAAAAGTAACAAGTTGGCAGAAGAAGCATCCAGAGAAGATAGGACTTCAGGTGAACATAGATAAAACAGAGGTGATGAAAATTCCTGGGCAACACCACCAACAGCAACAACAACAACTGGCAACAATCAGAATAAATGGAAGGAACCTGAAAGAAACAACCTCTTTTACCTACCTCGGAAGCATCGTTTCAACTACAAGCGGAACTGATGAGGATATCAAAGCAAGGATGAGGAAAGAAAGAAAAGCTTTCATTACTGCAAGTCTGCGTACTGGTCAATAGCACTCAGCATGAAAAATAAGATCCGGATTTTCAACACCAATGTGAAGTCAGTGCCACTAGACGGATCAGAAACTTGGCCAGCGCGTCATAAAGAGCATCTGAAACAAACGACAAACCTTCATCAACAGCTGTCTTCGCTCAATACTCAAGATCAGAAGGCCAGAAAAGATCAGCAATAGGGACCTGTGGGAGCAAACCAACCAGGAACCGATTGTGAAACAAATAGGCAGGAAGAAATGGAGATGGATTGGCCATACTCTAAGGAAACCGTCAAGTGAAATCACTAGACAAGCCCTCGAGTAGAATCCGAAAGGGAAGTGGCGAGATGTTCGTCAGTGCAAGGGTGACTTGGAGGAGCTCATGTGAAGAGGAGATGAAAGCATGTGGGCAGATTCGGAGCCAAGTGAAAAATCTAGCAGAGGACCGAACGCAATGGAGACACACGGCTGAAGCCCTATGTCCGTCTAGGAATTAAAGGAAATAATAATGATTTCGGAGTAGCTATTATCCCTGTCAACTTTTCAATCAATCTTGATTTTGATATCTTCATTCATTCCGCCAACCATATTTGTAACGATCCTCCATTTCTTTTGTGTTCCTTTGCGTCTCCAGTGGAACATAGGGATTCAAGCTAGAGCTCTAAATTTTCAGTAGCAGCAGCGTTTATTTTTACGGGACTGGGTTGCTGGCCCCATGTCCAACCTTCCCTCTTTACCAATCTTATTACCGGCTGGGGGGGTGAAAGAATTCGTCGGCCAGGGGTAAAGTCTCGAATCACTTGCATCGTTGGCGAGCATTCTACCACTGTGCCACCAACGAGATCCTCAATAAATAAGTGAAGTAAGAAATACCGTCCAAATTTCCGACGCTAATGTGGACTGGCGCTTCTTCTTCACGCTGTTGGTCGTGGTGGTTCACATTCATCGTCTCCCTCCCCTCCATGATTACCTAAAATCCGTCATTCTCTGCCTGCCTCCTCTGACAGTTTGTTGGCTCTCGCCTGTAAGTCTACGAGTTTGTGTGACACTTGGTATACATCATCCACAGATTCCAGGTCTTTTGAAGTCTTGTTATCGGTCCAGCATATTCGTGTCCTCTCGCTCACCAACCGCGGTGTGTTACATGACCCAGTCCACCACATTCAGGAATATAGTATGTGTCAGCAGGCAACCTTATTTCATTCCTGTCTTATATTCGAAGGCATTCCCTGGATTTTCCTTGTGCATTACTTGACGTAAGGCATTATCACATGTTCGTTAACCGAATCTGATAAGGATTATCGAAACACCATAGGGCTGAAGCAATTCCCGAATTCCTTTCGAGGTCAACACCGTAGAAAGCCCTTTCCAGAATCCAGCTTGTTGCCGTCGGTGGAGTTCTGCATCCGGTGCATCTTTTATCTTCTCCAGGATGACGTGACTTAGTACTTTACCTGGCAGTTCTTGCAGAAGCGTAAGTCTCTCCTCTCTGGTAGCCTAACAAGACAGTCTTTCTTCCAGTCACAAGGCATCTTTCCTTCCTCCCAAACTTTACGCAATAATGGCGTGAGTACATCTGCCGCAGTTTCTGGGTCCGCCTTCACTGCTTCGGGAGAATTCCGTCAGACCCTGCTGCCTTCCCGGCCGGACTTCAGTAGCTTGATCACGTTCAAGATTTCTGCTTTCGTTGGGGATTGATGTCTACTGGCGGCCAGTTCTGTGTGTGCCGTCGGTGGTGGCGGTATTTCTAGGCGAGTTGCAGGTGACGGGGTACTTTGAAGTGATCAGTACATCATTTTGTTTGTTTCTCCTCCTTGATAACCACGTTCCCTCTAACATCTTTTATAATAATAATAATTTATATTTCGTATAAACGGGTAAGTTTACAAGAAATGCATGCCATTTTTACAGACACGATCAGTAATGCTATATATTACAATCCTGAAGTATCATAAATTAATACTTTTTCAAAAGTTCGAATTGCTCAATTATTGTACAAGCAATCAGAACAGGTTCTTATAAATGTTAAATTGTAAACCGTTTACTAAGGTCACCATCAAAGTTGAGCGACAACCCAAATTTCGTTCCGTTTCCTGCTGATAGTTATGGTCAACCAGTGAACAGCGTATATCTGGGTGAATGCTACAGTTTTCATCATCTGAGCTGATCCCTTCCCGGAGAGATATCTGGTCATCTGATATAGCGTTCTGAGGTATCCCCAAACTGCGGCCTGCCTGTTCTGCTTCAGTTGCCAGCCAGTGTGTCGTAGAATTGTCTTTTGTCTTTCCCAGCATTCTCCTTCCCTTCTTCATTCATCGCAGTGTACATTGAACTCAGCTTCTCCCTCTGTTGCCCATCTTTGCATTGAGTCATCTTCTCCTTCACCTCCCTCCTCTACTCGATTAGCTTCCAAGTAGGTGTCCGTTAACAGCGATACCTTGTCTTGTCTCTTCTTTCTTCCCAGAACAGTTGTACACGTTTCCTCGAACATCAACTTCAGAGAAGTCCAATGTTCTTCCACGCGTGTTTCCTCAGTGGCGAAGGTATCCCTTGTAGTTTTGTCTCTCAGTTTCTGAATGCTGAACTTGAATTACAGTGGTCTATCTCCAGTTGTTCTGAAGGATTTCGGCTTCACCTTGAATGTTCATTGAACTGGATGATGGTCTGGACCCAAATCTGCTCCCTTTCTCAGCTTTATGTCCAGCAGGGCAGATGCGTCTCTACATCGTTGAGCAGCATTGAGATGAAATCTATCTGGTTTGTCGCGTGTCCGTCAGGCGAAATCTATGTTGCTGTGTGTATATCCTTTCACTTATGCACGCTGGGTTCGAGCACCAAATACTTTGAATGCGCGGAAGTCTGTTAAGAGTTCTCAGTTCTCATTCATTTAGCCCAGATCCTCTCGACCCATGATGAGTTGTTTTCCCGTCTCCTATGCTCTGAGTTTGGCGTTCATATCTCCTATAACAATTTTGATGTCACCATTTGAAATATTGTCCACTACCCTTCGTATTTGTCTGTAAAAATCTTCCCTCTTCCCTTTTTTCGCGTTGTTTGTAGCATTACTGCTTTGAATGCCGCTGGTGACATCATGTTAGCCACGCACAGGCGCATTGTGCTCGCAGTTTTCGTCTGGGTGGTAAGAATGGAGTAGATCACTGACTCTGCAGCTGAAATTGTTGTCATTCTGTATCCATTCCATCTGCTTTCGCAGATACCCACTACTTTTAGGAAATATCTTCGCATTTCTTTGGCTGCTGTGCAGTCTTACCAGCCAGCTTCGTACATCATACGTGCACTTCACGGCCCCATTCTTATCCCAGATTTCAAACAGAGGAGACACATCGGCTGGCTGACTACCTTCACGAAGGCTTTCACCATCCCATTGTGTCATTTCGCCTCTCCGATTCGAGCTAAGAACAAGCTTGTTTTTTATGCTCTGGTTTGTTGAAGTTTCTGTAGGACTTTGGTTGGTTTTTTGAGGTAGGGTGGCAAGCCCCACGCCCAACCATCCCTCTTTATCCAGGCTTGAGGGAGGCTCGTTTACTTGCAAGCTAGTGAACTAGGCGAGGTTCATATGATTATACATTTCCAACATATTTGTTCACTGCATCTCTTAAGTTCTTTTTCTGCAAGTCCATTTTACTCTTTCCAGGATGTACTGAAGCAATGTTTATCTGGCAAAGTTAAATTTTAACCAACGCCAACTACCAAATCAGCGAATGATCTTGAACGCACCAGTCACATGAAGGGGGTATTTTTGATCGTCGAATACATATATTTATGAAAAAATGTATTAAAACTGTATAAAACTGTTACATAGGATACCTTTCACATATCATGAAAACATCTCCCAGCTTAACACAGGAGTATCAATTGAAAAGTTACACCACACCCTATACATACATTCGTCTAAATAACTATAAATGTCATCCCTTTGTGATCCATTGATGTCTTTAATCCTGCTTTTTAAACCTCCACCGAAACTCTTCGATAGAATTGGTGTGGGTTTTTGTTCTCTACCACCAAGGTATTTTTTCTTTAGTAAGACAATTTCGTCTACATGTCCAACGACACCTTCTCCTCCCAATAAGGAAGTAAGCCTCTCCATCTTCCAGGATGCGATATCCCTACAGTGCTGGTATCACTGAACTGTTGATATGAGACCATTTTCAGTTGCAGCAGCTGCACATGCTGTTTTAAAACCCAGTAATTACAAATATACAAAATCTGAGTTAAGGACAAATGGGACCTGGAAAAAATGTTCCCACGAAATATTGGAGTTATCAGCTTACCTTCCCTAACACTAAATCGTCTTAAAAAATCTGCGCGACGATGGACATATCAACCATTCGACCTACTGAAGCTTTTTATACTCATAACACCTCCGCATGAAAAAATCCCTTCTTTCTCAATAAACCCCACATCCAAGACATACTGGAAAACCTTGTCCTGACGAAATTGCAAGAGCAGCTGCGTTAGAGCAGGCATTTGTCTCGAATCAAGCGGAATAGAACCTTCAACTCACGTGGGCGAAATTTATTAGACGGTTCAAGGTCATTCGCTGATTGGTATTTACTGCTGCTTAAAGTTTAACTTCGCCGTTTATCTATTTACTTTAGTGGTAACTGAAATACAGCATCCACTCCTGCTGCAATTTTAGAGGGTAGCATGACCTACACGACGTTTTCAAAGTTGGGTGACTCAAGGTCACTTACGTAGTCAGTGTTTACGTTGCCAACATTGACGCATTTATATGACGTAGTAATTGTATTTAGTATTCTTCGGTATTTTAGCTGGCCGTCACCTGCTCCTAGATGTAATTTTCTGTATCTATATTGCGAATCCAAGTAGACTATATAAACATATGTGTATATTCTACTACATTCCTACTAACTGTTTCGTCCAAATAATAAAAAAAGTTCCACCGAATCAATGCAGTAAAGGCACTGAGATTTCACCGAGTGCTTAGAATCTTGGATTTTTGCCCGGAATCCCCTCAACTATTAAATGTTTGTATTTGAGTGTTTTAATAATGAAATGAAAATACGTTTTATCTAGCTTTTCGATCAGTTGGTCATATTGTACTTTCAACTGTTTATAGTAATTGCTTTGTTTTGCTGTATGCATATACATAATTATGTATATATTAGGTTTAAACCTAATGAAGGATCCGTTAGTTGACTCTATAGAATTCAAGGGCAGTATATTCTTGTCGTATGAATATTCTGACAACGTAAAGAGTCTTCTGTACACTGGTTGTTATTTTCCGCAGGTTTAGGATGTATTTCTCGTCTTCTAAATGTACCTTGTACCCCCAAGATTGATGGGGAAAAACAAATTGTTGACTTGTAAAAAATAAATTGGATGGACACATTGATTATTTAGGTCGTCGGTTGTGATAGGTAGATGTGTGACTGAGTACTTTTCAGACCAGCACGGTTATAGTAATATGGTAATTTAATATGACCCATTAACTGAATAACATAGTACTAAGCCGGAATGTATGGTGGTGTGAAAATTTGACTTCATTTGTTTCTTTTTTCATTGGTTGCTAATATGGAGTATCTAGAAACTGTAAGAACAAACGATAATTACAAATTCAAATGGGTCATGCTTACACCCTGTACTTTTCATTTATGCAGTTCAAATAAGCTTCTGGCATTTCAGTTGCTGCCTTTGAACTGATAATTTTAATTATGCAACTCTCATCAGAAAGAAGTACTTTACTGTGATATAATGAACGGATGATGTGCCAACTCCTATCATATCTGCAAACTTTAAAACTCCCTTGACAGTGGGTTTAGCTGCAGAAAATATGAATAAGGTGTTTTGTCCTACGTTAGCAATGTGTCATGAATTTTTCTGTATTGACTGTAAATGGTGAGTACATTTCATTAATTCATAACACTTTATTTAGATGATAAGCAGTTTCTTATTTTTATGTCATTTATATTTGTTTTCTCCTCCATATTTTATATTTCTACTTAATTTCATTATGTTTGGTATTTTCACTTTCAGATGAATAAATGTTCAATATATAATCTTTAGAATATAAAAATGTTTCCCAATGAAGGTACAAATAAATCTACTCAATGGATAGCATGCGATAAGGTTGTTGTTCGTGATCAAAATCGTCGGCCTTTATTACTTACCTCATCCAAACCAATAGCATTTCATTCAAAACCTATTGTGTCTGTTATCCCCACACAACCTGTCCAATTAACTCAGTCGCATAAACTGTCACATAATCCTGTAGAGAAAGTGGACAAAGAAGTTCAAACAGATAATGATTATAGCATTGATACAAGTATCATGTCCCACATTGAAGACATGATACGAACACAACGGGGTTTATCATCAATTAATCGTAATACTTCTCGTCTCTCTTTTAATGAAGATAATAATAATGATAAGGATTCACTTAAGAAAGCATTGGAATTACAACAAAAAGTAAGAAGTATTAAATCACCTCTCCTTTTTGCTATACTTAAAATATGGCAGACTTTTAAATTCATAAGATGAATATTTCACGGCTCTCTGTCTATTAGTGTATTTTTTATGGGCACTAAGATATTCTGCACACAACAATATATAGAAAAAACGGGGACAGAATGAATGAGGGACGCCACCCAGAAAGCAAACAAGCATATTTGTCAAGATCATTCAATATTCAGTCAAACCAAAACATGGCATCAGTCAATAAAATCCACAACAGTTAGTTTAAGCCAGCCACGTAGGAAGGTGTAGACTTCTTAGCTGGCTGGGGTCCTCGGGACGGTAAACACCAATGGCTGGAAACAATTGCTGCTATAGCTCAAAATTGTTCTCAATGGCGCAGATGCATCCACTTCTTGTGACTTATAATACCCAATAAAACTATATTGTTCTTCGATATTACTATTCTTTTTGCCTCGTATCTCTGTTTACTGTCTCTACTTTGCATTCTCTCTTACTTTCTTTTCTTGCTTTGTGTGCTTCATGGAGTGTGGTGACTCGAACTGCTTCATATCGGTGCAAAGTTCTGTATTAAAACTACTACTAATTCAATATTCATTAATTCATGATACTCTCAGAAAGGGGAGAAGGAAGGGAACCACAACATGTTCGACATTGATTGAGATTATTGGCCATGTCTGATAACGATTCGAACCATTTTTTGGTCCCAAACTATGGATTCGTGATATACCAACTGGTGTTAAGCTAACACAAGTATCCATCTCACAACTCCATGACACAGGCTGTTATATTAATATATGCATTCACTTTCCACCAGTAAGTCAGCTATAGGATTGAATCTCGCTTCACCCTCTGTGATTAGAGCAACGGAGCCTTCACTTATTAGGTTTTCCTCATTAGCCAAAGTATATTTATAAGATGTGCATTATTCGTGCATGTAACATATGCAAATGCCACACTCGTAGTTTTATTTCTGTAGAAAAGGGATTGGTATTAAGTCGTTTTGTCATTGTGAAAAATGGTAGTAATATTTTTCACAGAGATTTTTTAAGTTAACTGATGAACAGTGTATTGATTGATATTCCTTTTTAATACTTTAACTTATTAACTGTTTGCAAGTAATTGTGCTACTGCAGTCTGTTTCACTTCTGCCTAACCCACATTAATTGGTTATATTTTTTTGGGTGAGGGGGGAATTAAATTATCTTTTCCACGAATACTTCGAAAAACGTTGTGTGAAATTCCATCTTAGGCGAAAGGTACTTTTTTGATCCCTCATATCTATTCCAATTTAACTCATCTGCGTATTCACTCCTTGTTAAATATGCTGATAAAAATGCAAAGTCTTCTGAACAACTTGAGCAGAAATCTTCGTGTGTTTGGTATGCTATTTGCTCCTCTCAGATATAAGATGATGCTACAGGACTGGACTACATCCACTCCTACCTTAAGAATAGGGAGTGTAATGGTAAGGCGTGTTGACCATCACTGAAATCATTTTGTGGGAAGTTGCATCAGACCCAACGGGTTGACTGCTGACGAAATCTCCACATGGATACAAAAGGCTCGTGTAACATTTGCCAGCTGGCGCCCTCTTTGGTATATGCGTGATATCCGACAGGCCATCGATCAAAGGACGAGTGTATTGCACAAAGCCAGTTCGATCCATCCTCTTTAATGTCTGTGAGACATGGCCATTGAAAGCGGAAGGTATGAAAAGGCTAGTTTTGTTTTACGAAAGGTGCCTGCATTCTGTCTCCTGTGTTAGGTGATATAATAGAGTGATGATTAATATTGGGGTTAGGCGAAGAGTGTTAGGTAAGGAGGGAAAGTAAATCGATGAGGTTCTCATGTCCTAGTGAGGGTGCTTTGGTGTTTGAAATGACCGGTACAAGGTTAGAATCTCAGCGGGAACACCATCACTTACTGGGAATGCAGTTATGTTCAGTTGACGAGTCAGAAGTGGGACGAAATGCTTATTTTGAACTCGATTGCTGGTGACCGCCAACCAAAATAACTTGATATCCGTTTCCTTTCTATATTTTCTAAAGTCTGTGTGTGATAACTCCACTTTAGATATTAATGTGTACTCTTATTTGAATGCTATCACTTCGTCTCAGTTACACTGGCGAATTATCACTCACCTCTTCACTAATCATACACATGTTGTTAAACTTGATAATTATTTGTTATCACTCACCATATATTCATGTTTTTTATGTGTATATTGACCCTACGAATCAAGTTCAACAATCATGTTTCTAATTTTGGGTATAGTTTATTATTGTATTATAATCATATTGGAGTGATCGTAGCTGTTGACCCCGACAAGTAATTTATAACCCTATGTCTCTAATCTAACGCTTATCCTAAGTTAATCTCCTGACCTTAAAATATGATCATTTGAATGAATATTAACACACTCTTATGAGAAAATGCGAGTAATTTATACAAGCTTTTAAAATAAGGAACCTATTTAATAATCCTACACTTCTGTAAACACTTTTTCACATATCTAATGATTTTTAGCCTAAATCAGCCTCCTTCACTCTGACTGACGGCCGCCATGTCATTGAGTCGGTCGTTCATTTGGTGCAGTATTCTTTAACTTAGTTGTCAGTGATGAAGATAACCAACCAACTACAATAAACACCAATTACTATCAACGGGAGAAATTTGAAAGAAGTCAGTTCCTTCACTCATCTAGGAGTTATCGTCTAAATTACAGACGACAACACGGATGGGAATTTCACAACCAGTCGGGATCCGAAAGGCAAGACAGACCTTCATCATACGAAACTCAGTTTGGAAATCTTCTGCAGTCAGTATAAACTACACGATCCGGGTTTTCAACACCCGTGCTGCGTCAGTCAATTCTTGTATATGGATCAGAAACTTGGTGAACGCGTCACGAAAAGCACTTCTAATAGCTGGCTGTAGATTTTGATCAACAGCTGCCTCCATACTAAAGAGCAGGTGACGTTTCTGGAAGGATTAGCAACAAGAAACTCTGGGAATGAACCAAACCAGAACCTGTTAATTAACAAATATTCCGAAGAAAGGGGAGGTGGATTGGACACTCTGAGGAGACCGTTGAGTAACCTTATACACAAGGCCCTAGTGTGGAATCTGGTTGAGAAACGACGAAATGGTCGTAGGTTCAAGGGTGACGTAGAGGCAATCGTGTGAAGAGGAAATGATAGCTTGTGGGAAATCGTGGAGTCAGCTTAAGTGAACTGCAAAGAATAGAGTAAAGTGGGGATGTCCCTTTGAAGCCCTATGTACCACTCGGAACCTAAGGGAATAATAATAAACTTTGCTGTCTTTATAGTTATATAACTTCTCAGTTTCGACAATAAGGTGAACAATATTGAGGCTAGGCGTCAAGTGCTAGGTAAGGAGGGGGAGATCAATCGACGAGGTTGTGAAGTTGAGATGGTCAGGACGTGTCACGCATGCACGTCTAGCCACCAACTTCCTTGATGGTCACTGCTAGCTGACATAGTATCGATGAGGTTCAAAAAGAGCTGCTAGTGATGGTCAAACCAAAACATGGCATCAGTCAATAAAATCCACAACAGTTAGTTTAAGCCAGCCATGCACGGAAGTGTAGACTGCTTGGCTGGTTGGGGTCCTGTGGATTCTAAGAACCACACGTTGGAAAACATTGATGATATGGCTTGACATCGTTTTCATTGGCGCAGGTGCATCCACTCTCTGTGATACCTCTATTAATTTTCCATGGTACCATACTTTCTCCCTCACATTTTTGTTTATTGTTGTTTCGAAACTCTTTTTTCCCTCTTTTGTCTTACATTTGCGTGGTGAATGGAGTGTGGTAACTCGAATTGGTACATTTCTGTACGAAGTTCTATACGAGTTTGACCACAGATTGATATCAGTTAGAGTTCTGTGTTGAAACCAGTTAGTCAGTCAGTCAGTCATGCAATCCACACGATATATACCTGTGTAGTATTTGATAGATTAGTTTCTTTTATCAGTTAGAGCTGTAAAAGTCGAATATATATTTTAATTGTACATTGTTTGTTTTAAATGTTACTTTGATTTCAATCTTATCAGATCAGTAACTTTGAGATATCTTTGATATATTTAGTACCATTTAAAGTTCTTAGTCTTATCGTAATTGTTTTGTTGTTACATCTTTTGTTTAAAAAAAGCTCGCCGATATTATTGATTTGTGATATTATGAATTTTATAAATGAACTTTGACAGACGATTGTTCAATAAAAGGGTGTCTTATTCCTCTTTCCTTACTAAGTTTTTCCTTATTTATTGTTTTTGTCAAATGCCTGATTACTTCTAAACATTGATCTGAATCTGATTTAAGTGATTTTGAGTTAGACAACCAGCATGGTATATATATATATATATATATATATATATATATTGATTCAAATGTAATTGTTGTTTGTAGCCAGTTGTATCTCAACCAACGATTTATTTCAAGTTTGATCACGGATTGATATCAGTTAGAGAACCATTGAAAACCAGGGAGTACTTGGCAGTTGTTTTTCCTAGTTCGCGACTCGTCGGGAGGTACCCACCCACTGGTCTTCGAATCCAGGACTTTCCGGTTAGAAGTCAATCTAGTAGAACTTTCAGTCACTGGGACCCGATCCAATGATCAGCGCATTAATTCCAACTTCTACCAATTCTTAATTTTAATGTGATCACCAATCAATGTTGTCGGCTAGTATTTCGTGTCACAGCTGATACGATGGACCCCAATGGCCACGACTTCTCACCAGAACTCCAGGCAACTTCGTCCTTCTTCAACTTTCTGGGCTATTGAGTCAGGTCTCAGTGGCTGAATGGTCTTTGAGCTTGACTTGTAACCGAAAGGTCCTGATTTCAAACCCCAGTGAGTGGGTACTCCCAATGATCCCAATACTCCCTAGATTTCAGTGGTTCTCTAACTGATTTCAATCCGTGATCAAAGTTGAAACAGATCAAATAACTATAAAATACCTATT